TACTCATTATAATTTACTAACTTCAATATTTTAATAAATGTTTAGAAAAAGTTTAATATATGCACAGTAAGTACATATACGTAATTTTATAAGCTACCAATGTATTTTCATCTGTTAAATAAACCAGATCATACGCCTATACTCACAGTTAAGCAAACATTATAAATGTAAATGTTTACTGCCAACTGTGGCTATATAATTGCTAGCGTGAGCAAAATTTTAAAATTCAGATGTGTATAAAATATGTTCTGCATAGAATATAATCACTGTTTATTATATAGTTCTGTACGGTGTAAATTATTTAAAATTTTTAGCGATTTTTCAATAACAATTGTTGTTTGAATTTTTTTTTTTGGCCGTGTATGTTTCTAATGGTAAAGTATATAATTAGGCTACTATACATTAATATAGCATGATACATATAATTTATACATTAACAAAATCAACTTTAATATTTGAACCACATGGAATACTACTTASCCGGGAGGTACTCCGAAATACATTATCTTAATAACGATAAATCTTAATTTAACGTGTTAAAGAAATATTTAATAATTGATTTATACAAATATTCTGCATGAATATGAAAAATCAGTTAATATTGTTTCTCAAACAAGTATTATAAAACTCTAGTTATCTGCAGGAGAGCATAAAATTGGAATATTATATTAACAAGACCTTGAAAAATCAGAGTGGACTAAATATGTTCTTATATATTTTTCATAAAATATAGGTCAAAAATATTTCCTTCATAAACATTTCAGTATGTTCATTAAAGCCTATTCACATTCAATTTTCTATCTGAATTAGGTGTGCCTGAAAAATATAAGTWATCACTTATTTCATTGCAATTTTTTAAGGGTTAAATGCGTTCAAACTGTATTACATTCATACTAAATACGCTAGATCATTTTACATTTACAATAAATCATTATTAACAATCAAACTATTATGCGACTGATTTTATATTAATTGTACATACATAAAAATACAATAATATAAAATGTATTATAATATACATGAATAAACTTACCTATAAGTGTTAACGTKAATTATAGAATAACGATACTAAAAAGTATAATTATGAAGGTACGCGCAATTATTTGATTAAGCCATCAGTCATCCTTAATATGTATTATCAATACTTTTTTTATCGATATTTATTATTATTAAGCAATGGTATAATGATTATTGAAGCATTTTTGAACAAATTATGTAACAAAACGTAATACGATTGCGGTCGTACATTAATATATATATATATATATATGTAGGTAAAGTTATTTTTTCTAGCTACATTATCTTTAACGTCCAGTTATAGATACACACCGTCTATATACACCCAACTATTATATTATTCGAATAAGATCAATTTTTCTTTGAAATTACTGTCAAATAATTACAAAATATAGGAACAGCTCAGTTAAAAAACCAAGATAAAACTTGTTTTCTATAACGTATAAACATAATAATACCGACTTCATTATAGGATACGTGTTGTATGAATGTTAGTTGGCTTCATTAGTATAGTACTATAATACATTATACCGACTGTACACATATTACATACTTATAAGTTATAAGTCATATATATTAAAGCAGAGAAAATCAACAGAGACTTTACGAAAAGA